GTTTTTCTTTGGAAATCTAAAACCAGGACAAGCCTGATGACTCTTGGCTGGAATTCCAAAACTTCGGGCAGCCAAGGCAGAAGCATTGCTTGAGCCCAGCATTTCAAAACCAGCCTGGGCAACACTTTATTGCTACAAAAAAATAAACAAAATTAGCTAGGCATGTTGGCACATACCTGTAGTCCCAGCTACTCAGGAGACTGAGGTGAGAGGATCACTTCAGCCTGGGTGGTTGAGGTTACAATGAAATGAGAGCATGTCACTGTACTCTAGCCTGGGAAACAGAGTCAGACTCGGTCTCAAAAAAAAAAAAAAAAAAAAAAACCTAAAAGAAATCTGGGCCCGGCACAGTGGCTCACGCCTGTAATCCCAGCACTTTGGGAGGCCGAGGCAGGTGGATCACGAGGTCAAGAGATCGAGACCATCCTGGTCAACATGGTAAAACCCTGTCTCTACTAAAAATACAAAAAATTAGCTGGGCGTGGTGGTGCATGCCTGTAATCCCAGCTACTCAGGAGGCTGAGGCAGGAGAATTGCCTGAACCCAGGAGGCGGAGGTTGTGGTGAGCCGAGATCATGCCATTACACTCCAGCCTGGGTAAAAAGAGCAAAACTCCGTCTCAAAAAAAAAAAGAGAAGAAAACTGAAACCCAAAAATCTAAATACTATTGGTCTCATCAAATTTTTTTTTTTTTTTGAGATGGAGTCTTGCTCTATTGCCCAGGCTGGAGTGCAGTGGCGTGATCTCAGCTCAGTGCAGCCTCCGCCTCCCGGGTTCAAGTGAGTCTCTGCATCAGCCTCCTGAGTAGCTGGGATTACAGGTGCATGCTACCATGCCTGGATGATTTTCTGTAGTAGAGACAGGGTTTCACCATCTTGGCCAGGCTGGTCTTGGACTCCTGACCTCATGATCCACCTGCCTCGGCCTCCCAAAGTGCTGGGATTACAGGTGTGAGCCACTGTGCCCACCCAAAATCTTTTTACCTTTTTTTTTTTTTTTTTTTGGAGATGGAGTCTCACTCTGTTGCCCAGGCTGGAGTGCAGTGGTGCTCAGCTCACTGCAACCTTCACCTCCTGGGTTCAAGTAATTCTCCTGCCTCAGCCTCCTGAGTAGCTGGGGGCTACAGGTGCACACCGCCATACCCGGCTAATTTTTTTGTATTTTAGTAGAGATGAAATTTCACTGTGTTGCCCAGGCTAGTTTCAAACTCCTGAGCTCAGCAATCTGCCCACCTCAGCCTCCCAAAGTGCTAGGATTGCAGGCATCAGCCACTACACCTGGTCTTTTTACCTTTATGAATGAAAAACTGAGGTTCAAAAAAGAGTGGAGATGTACCCAAGCTATTACTGTGAGACAGGAGGTTATTTTATGATCACACAATTTAGTCTCCAAGGGCTTGTAAATTCCCCATTGAGAAACACTCAGGAAATTCCTTATAAGCCTCTTTAGGGAAATTTGCATTTTTCAACTGACTAGGAAAACAGCAGCTGGGCTTCTCTGCCTTAATTGTTCATATGTCCACCATTATAATAGAAGAGAAAACCAGTAATCACTATTACTTCTATATGTCTTATTAAAGAAAACCAGAGCTGGACAGTGATCAAAGCAGTACAAGTAGATTTTATTCAGAAACTACTGCACTAGGTGAAAAGAAAAAAAACCCTCAGTTTCTTTGTGCTCAATTCCAAATACAGCAAGGACAAGTGGGGTTTTATAACTAAGAAGAGGGAGGGAATCAGGGACTGGAAGTTTAGGAATCTGAAACATCAGGGTAAAGGGGAATTCTGGCTAAATTGAATTGACACAATTCTTGGGATCAAATCAGGGTGATCAAACATCACCTGGGGGCTGGTGGAAGCTGAAGAATTTAATCATACATCAAGGGTGGGGAATTCTTGCTAAACTGACTTAGCAGGATTTTTGCTGAAATTGGGTGATGTAAAGGAGGACCAGAAGTCCAGAGGTGCAGGCCTAGTTGAGAGGAGGGTTCACAGAAGCTTGAGTAAAGTTTGGTCAAAGAGAGAATGTCAGTCTGTTGTTTGAAAAATGAAGCTTTCCTACATGGGAAGGAAGGCTGATAATGAGCATTTACTTCATAGCAGTGTTTGTCCTTCTTCCCCCGCCCCTTCCCCATACAACAGGAAATTAGTTTCAGAATACTCTGAACTCAGAAGCACCCCCAGGGTAACTTAGAAATGTGTCCCAGTGGCCAGGCATGGTGGCTCATGCCTGTAATCCCAGCACTTTGGGACGCCCAGGTGGGCAAATCACCTGAGGTTGGGAGTGTGAGATCAACATGGCAAAACTCCGTCTCTACCAAAAAAATAGAAAAATTATCCGGACATGGTGTCACATGCCTGTAGTCCCAGCTACTTGGGAGGCTGAGGCAGGAGAATCGCTGTAATGCGGGAGACGGAGGTTGCAGTGAGCTGAGATTGCACCACTGCATTCCAGCCTGGGTGACAGAGCAAGACTGTCTCAAAAAAAAAAAAAAAAAAAGAATATGCTGGCTGGGCATGGCGGCTCACGCCTGTAATCTCAGCACTTTGGGAGGCCAAGGCAGGAGAATTGCGTGAGTTCAGGAGTTTGAGACCAGCCTAGGCAACATAATGAGACCCTGTCTCTTTTATTAAATAAATAAATAAACAAATGCTGAACTCAAAGGTAGAAATACCACCAGATCAGTTTTGTTTCGTTTTGTTTTGTTTGAGTTGGAGTCTTATTCTGTCACCAATGCTGGAGTGCAGTGGTGAGATCTTGGCTCAGTGCAACCTCTGCCTCCCGGATTCAAGCAATTCTCCTACCTCAGCCTCCTGAGTAGCTGGGATTACAGGCACCTGCCACCGCACTTGGCTAATTTTTGTATTTTTAGTAAAAATGGGGTTTCACCATATTGGCCAGGCTGGTCTCAAACTCCTGACCTCGTGATCTGCCCACCTCGGCCTCCCAAAGTGCTGGGATTACAGACATGAGCCACTGCGCCCAGCCCAGATCATTATTAAATAGTTAGTGTCTCATAAAAAATTATTACATGTCTGTTTATCACCATTTCTAATTTGCCTATGTAGATTTCTAGCCCTTGCTTCAAGTACTGACTGCTACTTAAAATCTGTGTGCTCTTTGGCAAATCAATGAATTTCTCTGTGCCCATTTCCTTATCTTTAAAGAGGGAGTAATTAGATTGGCATAGTTTATCTCACAGAATAGTTTTAAGTGTAAGATGAGAAGATATAGATAGAAATTCTCTGTAAATTGTAAAATGCAATATGAATGTGTTGTCATTAAAAATGTAGACAAAAAATATTAAACTATTGTTTATAATCATACTTATTAAAATGCAAATGAAGTCTTAAACTATCTCTACCTCTTTGAGCTTCATGGTTAAAATCAGATAATAACCTTCTGGGACTAATGACCACCTCAACTGATTTGGAAAATAATGTAATCAACTTCAGGAAATCCTCTTTTAAATAAAGTATTCTGCATCACACAGCTATGGTTGAAGCAAACCTTGAGAAATTGCCCTTTTTTATACATCAGAATGGCAGGAAATCATCAATTCCAGATGATTCCATTAATACTAATGTTAGTTGCAGAGAATCCCTAGGGGGACTGCAGCAACCTCAGTCCTTGCCTATTTGGAAGGAAGAATTCGACCGAGGGGTATAAGACAGAAGAAAAAAACTGAGGCAAGTTTTAGATCAGAAGTGGAAGTTTATGAAAAAGTGTTGGATAGAAAGGAAAGGAAGTAACATATTCTTGGAAGAGGCCCAAGCAGATGACTTGAGAGATTAAGTACCTTGTTTGACCTCTGACTTGGGGTCTTATACATTGGCATACTTCTGGTTGCTTCTGGTCTCTTCTCCCTGATTCTTCCCATGGGGTGGGCTGTTCACATATGCAGTGGTCTGCTGGCACTTGGGAGGGGCCACATGCACATTGTGTTTACTGAAGTTGTGCACATGCTCATTTGAGGTGTTTTTCCTTTACCAGTTGAGTGTTTAAACTCTGCCATTTTGCCTCGTAGTTTGCATACTTGAGCCCACTCACCTAGCTCCTGAGATCTTACCAAGAAGCTGCTAATCGCCAGTTTTAAGTTTTTTCTGTCTGTTGGGAGACTGCCTTTCCTTGGTGCTGGCTGCAACCAACTATTATTTTAGAGAGACAGTTTAACAACCACCTGACCATCACCTGATGGTCACCTGACATTCCTGGTAGGGATTGAGGGAGCCTCTTCCCTGCCCTGCTCATATCTGACTACCTACCTACTGTAACACTAATGCATAAATCTATACAAGTGTTGGGGCTGAGAAACCAATAACCCCAAAACATGGCTTTTTTTTTTAAACAAAATTCACTCTCGTTGCCCAGGCTGGAGTGCAATGGTGTGATCTTGGCTCACCGCAATCTCTGCCTCAGGTTCAAGCGATTCTCCTGACAGCCTCTCGAGTAGCTGGGATTACAGGCATGTGCCACAACACCTGGCTAAAACATGGCATTTTGACATGCTGAACTGAAGAAGAAGCTTCAAGGTCTCTCTAACCTCCTTGCCCCTCCCCACTCTCTCCCAAGGAAGTTGAAGTTTCTTTATCTGCCTAAGATCCCAGATGCGCCAGAGAGAACAGTTGTTTTTACTTCCTCTCACTGTAAGATCAAGAATGAAACCACACCTGAACAGACCATTTCACTGTCAAAGAGAACTATTTCCAAGTAAATCTCTATTCCCAGATCCATTGATTCTCCCTAGTAATCCCCTCAATACAATCTATTCCCCATCTCATAACCTGTTTGGCCAGGATCCAAGCCTTCATTCTTTCTGTAACTTTAAGATGGTATATAAGCTCCTCATAGAGGGGGTCTTCATTCTGAAGGCTTCCATGTATATGTATTGATTAAATTTGCATAAAATTTGCATACATTTTCTCTTATTAATCAGACTGCCTCATGTCAGTGATTTTTCAGTGAACCTTTAGGGGCCAACAGCTTTATCCTCCACACAGGCAAAATCCAAAAAGGATTCATGACCCACCAGAAATCTCAGAGGCTTCTTGTCAAGATCTCAAGAGTTCCTCCATCTCTACACGGCATTCAAATTTTAAGAAGCTAGGTGAGTGTTGCCTTTCTTATCCTACAAATTAAAAAACTAAGATACAGATTTGCATTTCTAGCAAATAGTCAAGGTAGCACAGGACTCATTTTGATAACATCTAGGACTTGTTCAGGGCCTCCTCACATAAATGGTTGGGCAGTAGAAGTTTGTGTTCTGCTGGTTCTTCAAACTTCTTATCATATATCCAACTACTTCTTTCTCCAGACTTTTCTCAAACCAATACTCTTTTTTTATTTTTTGAAACGGAGTCTTGCTCTGTCACCAGGCTAGAGTGCAGTGGCAAGATCTTGGCTCACTGCAACCTCTGACTCCCTGGTTCAACCAGGGAATCAATTCTCCTGCTTCAGCCTCCCAAGTAGCTGAGATTACAGGCATGCATCTCCATGCCCAGCTAATTTTTGTATTTTTTAGTAGAGAAGGGGTTTCACCATGTTGGCCAAGGTGGTCTCAATTTCTTGACCTCATGATCTGCCCACCTTGGCCTCCCAAAGTGCTGGGATTATAGGCATGAACCACCATGCCTGGCCTCAAACCAAGACTCTACACCTGAAACTCAGCTCCTTCTTTTCCACTTTCCACCTGTAATTATTAGTGAAGTTCAATCCATTCTACCTACCCAGTGTGTCTCCCATTCATTTGTTTTCTCATTTCCTAGTTCAGATCCTTTCAAATAGGCTTGAACAGTTGCAAACTTCAAACTGGTCTTTCTGTCTCCAGGCTTGATTTAGCTTTCTACTTGCCAGCTGAAGAATGACAAAGTTCATATATTTGGAAAGCAGAGCTTTATTTCTCATAAAGTGTTTCAGCCTGCAGAGTAGCCATTTTGATAAGCTGGGAAGTGTAGCCTCTGGTCAGAAGCCAGAAACAGGCACTTCAAGGGAAAGGAATAGGGAAGAGAAATTTATACTGAGCAGGGTGACCAAATATACATATTCAATAAGCTGTAGGAAGAGTCATGAATATTTATGAAAGGAGAAGCATGTGCATATGCAACTGAGTCTCATGTAAAAAAAGGGCAGCATCAGTATAACTTGAGGGTGGAATTTTGCATCCCTCTGACATCATAAGGTGAAGTAGAGGACAGGAAAAACCGTCTCTATGTATCCTGTGTACAGTAGCCAGAACCACTGCATGGTCTAGTCTCCTTTCAGAAAGGAATGCTGATCTGATGTTGTGTGTTGTGTCAAAGCCACAAAACCTAGGGACAGCATTTGGGTGGTTGATTGGGATCAGGAGTGGAGTCTTTTGAAAGGGCTAATTTATGTTTAGCCCTTAGGAGAGAAAGCCTAATAGTAGTTAGCAAAGTGGTGGTGGTGGGGGAGCAGTTATAACCAGGCATGTCCTACTGTTACAGGCTAGGGGTCTCAATCCAGATCCCAAGAGAGGGTTCTTGGATCTTGCCCAAGAAAGAATACAGGCTGGGTGCGGTGGCTGAGCACTTTGGGAGGTAAAGGCAGGCAGATCACCTATGCTCAGGAGTTCGAGACCAGCCAGGCCAAGATGGTGAAACCCTGTCTTTACTAAAAATACAAAAATTAGCCAGGTGCGGTGGTGCGCACCTGTAATCCCAGCTACTCAGGAGGCTGAGACAGGAGAATTGTTTGAACCTGGGAGACAGAGGTTGCAGTGAGCCAAGATCATGCCACTGTACTCTAGCCTGGAAAACAGAGTAAGACACTGGCTCAAAAACAAAAAAAAAATTTCAGAATGAGTCTGCATTGCAAAGTGAAAGCAAGTTTACTAAGAAAGTAAAGGAATAAAAAAATGTCTACTCCATAGACACAGCAGCCTCAAGGGCTGCTGATTGCCCATTATTATGATTATTTCTTGATATGCTAAACAAGGAGTAGATCATTTATTCTTCCCCTTTTTAGATCATATAGGGTAACTTCCTGAGGTTGCCATGGCATTTGTAAACTGTCATGGAGCTGGTGGGAATGTAGCAGTGAGGACAACCAGAGGTCACTCTCATTACCATTTTGGTTTTGGTGGGTTTGGGCCAGCTCCTTTACTGCAACTTGTTTTTATCAGCAAGGTCTTTATGATGTGTAGTTTGTGCTGACTTAGAAAGCCATAACCATCTGGGAATGCAGCCCAGTAGGTTTCAGCTGCATTTTACCCAGTCCCTGCTCAAGATGGAGTTGCTCTGGTTCACACACCTCTGACACTACCTCCCATCTGTTTTGTCTGGAACTCAGTTTCAAGGTTTCTCTGAGGTTCCCTTGGCCAAGAGGAAGTCTGTTTAGTCAGTTGGGGGTTGGAATTTTATTTTATTTTTCAACTTTTTGAAAGGTTTTTTTTTTGAGACAGAGTCTCCATTTATGGAAGACTTCAACCCCTGAAATTAGGAATCTCTTGCCTATTCCATTTTTATGGAAGGCCTAACCCCACAAGCTGGGAATCTCTGGCCTATTTCGTTTTTAGAGAAGATGCAACCCCCCAAGCTGGGAATCTCGCCTATTCCGTTTTTATGGAAGACTCAACCTCCCAAACTGGGAATCTCTGGCGTATTTCGTTTTTACAGAAGACGCAACACCCCAAGCTGGGAATCTCACCTATTCCGTTTTTATGGAAGACTCAACATCCCAAACTGGGAATCTCTCACCTATTCTGTTTTTTACAGAAGGCTCAACCCCTCAAGCTAGGAATTTCTTGCCCTCCCTGCCCTGGGAGGTTGATCTGTTTCCTCCCTTCCCCCTTCTGAAGGTCCCTTACACTTTTCTCATTTGTGCTGTCCTCCTTGGCCACTCCCCAGCAGTAACACTTGTCACCATTCACACAAACCCCACCACATTCACACACACACTCCACCCTCCAGAAATTGACCACCAAGGAAATACTTTGTCACCTCTTTGCAGCATTTCCTACCTTGGCTTATGTACGAGGTTGCCTGGCCGAGGCCCCTGGTTGCCGTGGTTTGGAATCTCTTTCCCTTGCATTGCTGTGTTGCTGAGAATCCAGGTTTATTCCTCACACCAGATAAGTCCTGACCCTCTCCCCCAGGGCCACCTCAATAGGTGTTGGGGCGCCATCTATTGGGGTGGCCCTGGGGGGAGAGGACAAAGGACTGCCCCAGAGGGGAAATGGAATCCTGGACGAGCCCCTAATTATGTTGAAAACGGGTTTATAATGTTGGGAAAAATCCATACCGAGACAACGGATCACTCAGCAAGGCTAGTTGACTTCCTGCAGGAAGGGTGCAACTCACTGACAGTCTTGCCATGAGAGCACACCTGAACAAAGAAAAAAGGGACATTTATAACTTTCATAACCTGACGCCATTGCCCTATTGCTGTGTCCCATTTCCATTGGCTGGAATGGGCCTCACATTCTATGCTTGACCCAATTGGCTAAAATCTTGGAAATTTCCTGAATAGATAAGCAGGAAAGAAGACAAGGAAAAAGGGGAAGCTAGTCAGGAGAAGGTCAGGAGGGTTTCCAAATAAGGAATGGCATGCACCAGGGTTTGGAGCTTGCCCAGTTCTGTTCAGACATGCTGGAGCCAGTCAAGGTACCTGATTTAAGATGTGGCTGATTTAGAGAATATGTGTACATGGTTATATGTTTATGCTAATAGCGGATAATGGCCATAGAGCAAGACACTGTAACTCCTTGTTACAAGAGATTGTAACATAATAGTCTAAGATATAAACTTTGAAGAACTTTTCCATCTCTCACACCTAGGCTGGAGTACAGTGGCATGATCTCAGCTCCCTGCAACCACCACCTCCCAGGTTCAAGTGATTCTCCTGCCTCAGTCTACCAAGTAGCTGGGATCACAGGCATGCACCACCTCACCTGGCTAACTTTTTTTTGTATTCTTAGTAGAGACAGGGTTTTGCCATGTTGGCCAGGCTGGTCTCGAACTCCTGGCCTCAGGTGATCAGCCCACCTCAGCCTCCCAAAGTGTTGGGATTACAGGTGTGAGCCACTGTGCCTGGCCCTCAACTTTATTTTAGATTTAGGGAGTACATGTGCAGGCTTGTTACCTGGGCATATTGCATGATGCTGAGATTTGGGGTACAATTGGTCCAACCAACCAAGTCTGATCATAGCATCCAACAGTTAGTTTTTTAACCCTTGCCCTCCTTCTACCTTCCCCGTCTAGAAGTTCCCAGTTCTATTGTTGCCATTTTTATGCCCCTGATTACCCAATGTTTAGTTCCCACTTATAAGTGAGAACATGCAGTATTTGGTTTTCTGTTCCTGCATTAATCCACTTAGGACAAAAAAATTTGTTTTTTTTTTTGAGACAAGCCTCACTCTGTCACCCAGGGTGGAGTGCAGTGATATGATCTCAGCTCACTGCAACTTCCACCTCCCCGGTTGAAGTGATTCTCCTTCCTCAATCTCCTGAGTAGCTGGGATCACAGGCACGTGCCACCATGCCTAATTATTTTTTGTATTTTTAGTAGAGACAGGGTTTCACCATGTTGGCCAGGCTGTCTCAAAATCCTGACCTGGTGATTCACCCCCCTCAGCCTCCTGAAGAGCTGAGATTACAGGTGTGAGCCACTGGACCCAGCGTTTTTTTGTTTTCCTTTTTGAGATGGAGTTTCACTCTTGTTTCCTAGGCTGGAGCACAATGGCACAATCCTGGCTCACTGCAAACTCTTCCCCCTGGGATCAAGAGATTCTTCTGTCTCAGCCTCCCAAGTAGCTGGGATTACAGGTTTCCACCACCCAACCCAGCTAATTCTTGTATTTTTAGTAGACATGGAGTTTCACTTTTGGTCAGGCTGGTCTCGAACTCCTGAACTCAGGTGATCCAGCCACCTTGGCCTCCCAAAGTTCTGGGATTACAGGCGTGAGCTACCATGTCCAGCCAGGATAAAATGTTATTTTTATTTCTCAGTGGGAAACATGAAAGGTTGTTCATTCAACCCTTTCCTTGTCCTATTATTGTAGTAAAGGAGAAACTTTTCCTTTAGCCTCTTAAATTCAGTATCTGAGGCCTGTGAATTAAACTGACAGAAGACAGATTAGCAAGAGAAAAG